TAATTTGCATCATAAAATGCAAGAAAGGCCATCAAGGGATATGTATTCGTTTTTGGATATGTCAACGTTCTTCGAAAACTATCGTTTTTTGTGAAAACTATCTCAGAATTTCGCATTTTCGGAAACGCTTAAACGCCATTTCTCCGATACGGCTTCAAATTTTGCTTCTAACTTTTCCACCGGATAGAGCTATTTGCACTCTTTATTATGACGTAAAGTACATTTTGTATTTTCAGAAAAAATTACACAAAGTAAGTTTTGAGAAAGATCATTGACGCCCCGAATATTTAATTTCCAGCAATTTGTGAACAGTGTTATATTGTGAGTTAAAAGTGTTTCAAATTACCTTTTCAGGAGCTTTTCGAAAATTCAAAAAATTCTATGAAAGCTTCTAATATAGAATTTACAGTAGCACTCAAACGCCATTTTCTTAAAAACTGCTGCAAATTTTTCAAAGAAAATTACCATTTAGGGCGAGATTTTACTGTTCTTTAATATTCTTAAAAATATTACCGTTCTACTTTCAGGAAACCGGAAAATTAAAAAATTTCAAACAAAATATAGGGAGGCGATAGTTGGCATGAGTATGTGGTAAGTCCGAACAGCTACCCAAATTGAATAAAATAGAAAACAAATACAGGAAAGTCTGTGCCCTTCTGTAGCCCCTTGTATTCAAAATAATTGAAAAACGTCCATTTTTCGCAAGTTCTGATCTTTTATGTAATAAAAGAAAATAACTTGTATTTAATAATATTTATATTTTTCTCCACTTAAAGGTTTTAGTCGTGAGAGGCCCACATTCCGTGACGTAAGCCAAAAATATGAAAAACGGAGTATCCCATTTTACCTGAATAAAACTTAAAAACTAGTTATATTTCGTAAATGTTAACCTGATACTATAAAAAAATATATTACATTTCCACTTCGAAATATTTGTGAAGTTTTTGTAGTCCAAATATTTTTCCGAAATAAGTATCTTTTTAATTATTTAACATATCGTAAATTTGATTATGCACAATTTTAAAGAACACGCATTTCTCTACAAAACAAACAGAAAATATAGCCAAACGAGACTGTCAGAAAACCACGAAGTTCCAAAATTTGACATGACATTTCACGCCCTAAAAGAACCTTAAGTTACAAATAGAATTATTTCTTACTGGCGTAGTAAAACTAATTATTTTCGGATGCCTTGAATGGAAAACTGACTATTCAGAACTGACACAGTTTTCCTGATAGAGAATCCGCATTAAGCAATGATCGGTGAGTTACATTGGAGCCCCAAAGTTTCCCAACACAAAAAAAGTTTCCCCTAGAATAATTTTTTGAGGAAAGTCACAACTTATTGTCCTTAATGGCACGATACTTTTTACTACACTTCAAATAAACTATCAAGGTTGATATTTTCGCTAGACAAGCAGTGTAAGAATGTTACTTACATTCACCATAAAAATCACACTTAGTACTTGACATTGTTTTCTAGATACACAGATTACTAGAAATACAAAAGCCTAAATAAATGGGCTTAAAGAGCTTCACTTCTGTTTTTAGCAACTCGATGGTCATGAGATCTCCCTTGACATGGTGACTTCGCACGAAAGCGGGGTCTGCGATGAGCCGCCGCGCCCCACACCTCCCCTCCCATCTGTTCATATATGCGTCGATGATTGCGCACGTCCTACATCGACTTCCCGTAAATGGAGTTATTCATCAGTTTAAAAAAATTATCTTCGAAATCGGAGGACGCGCGCTGTCGCCATGAATTGTTGAGGTCCATGTAGGTGGCAAGCCAAGGACTTTTGTCGAAAGAGAGAATGCGATGAATTTTGGAGTTGCACGCCCAACTCCATGGCCTGAATTAAATTTTGAATATGAATGACGTAGCGACGCTTTGGCAACAGCGTCACCAATAACTTGGCTTGCCTGCTTTTCGTGTCGGGGGGCACCCGCGTCTCAGGACAAGGAGGCAAGTCGCTCAATCGATCGTGAACCTCATCTGGATAGTCGAGGTCGACTTCGAGAACGTATCCGCGATCGGTCTGGGCGGCCGTCTGCTTCAGGTCGAACGTACAAATTTCGATATCCGTCAACCATTTAAACCGTCCTGTGGGCAGTGATGATGCATACTAAAAAGCCATAAAAATTATTTTGATCCACGTAGGAAGAGATAAGATTCCTTATCAGTGGATTGAAGGAATCTTCTAGGTGCGCGTGATTGGCCCTTACCATGGCGCCCGAACCTGGTAACGAGACCGCCCCTGATACCTTTTTGGACAAAGAGACCATGTCACATCTGTGAGAAGCTTACAGCTGATGCCCGGTTGTTTTTAAAGCATGGCGTCCCGAAAGCCGGGAGCGGTGTAATAAAATGCGGGATCGAGACCTACACCTCCAAACACAATTGTCTAAATGTTTCAAAAACGTCGGTGAGCAACACACGTTCGATGATCAAATACCAATCAGCGTATTCACCTAAATTTTTACGGATAAAGCGTCCCACACGTCCGCGGTGAGCGTACTCCGCGTCCGAGATCGCTTCTGTTTGTGATTATGACCTGAAAGGCCCGACAATTTTGTATAGTGCTTTTCACTATCTCGTTTCCTTGAACTCATCGAATTTGAATTGATTGAATCCACAATAAGCGAGAAAAAAAATTGCGCCTATTATACTTAAGTGTCCACCACAGCTGCGTGAGCGTTCAGAAAGATAGGCTGTATCTCTCCGACATTTCGTTGCGTCCAGGGATGATCTCGTTCAATCAATGAAATGACAATTCGAGGTACTACAATAATTTTTTGAAAACTAGGACTTGATGGAGCGAACATTTCAAACAACTTGTGTAGGAACGGAACTTGACAACGACTTGAGAAAGTGAGGGGAATGATGATATTTAAAATAATTAGCAATATCACGCCCACCGCTGTTTACAAGACCGCACGACGTTCGTCCACTCGAGAGCATTTGCATTGTCTGATTGTTGCGGTTGATCCTGACGGCGATCTATAGAAGCAAAAAATGCACGAAAAAATGAATGTCTGTTCGGCAAGAACGCTATGAAAGTATTTTCATTGTGAAATTAACCGTTGTCATGGACTTTACGAATCGCAGGTGATGGAGCCAGCGGTGACGTCTTTGATGTTGACGGTCTAGTCACACTCACGCTGCTTGCGATGATAACGATGCAACCAACACATGTTTCTTCATCTAATTAAAATAGATAAACTTATTAAAATTTGAAGAATATGAAATAAGGAACATTAAAAAATATCAGAATATAATTGATTACATTCCAGATGGTCGATCGTCAAAATAATTCTTTTCAGAAAAAAAGTCTTTATTCGTCACAGCTGAACGATTCGTATCGAACGCACGACTAACGACCCGAAGCCTGGGGACGTGCATTTATGTAGCAGACAGCGGCCTTGGTTAGCTGCCGTCCTCTGGCGCGGCGGTCTTCAGGTCTTGGCCCGCTGCCGACCTCGGCTATTCATAGGCCTTGGCCCGATGCCGGAAGCTTCGCGGTGGTGCTATCACAGCAAGATGCGACGCGCTATTTTCGTATTTTATCATTGACCCCCGCGGGAACTTCATCGTTCAAAATGTGGGAGCACGGAACTATATAAACCTATGTCTTACACACTCTACACATCAATCTTGCGCTGAATGTGAACATGTCTATTCAGAAACGTTCTGTTCGCGGTGAGGCTGAATCTCCGACGAAGAAAATGAAAAAGAGGTAAGATTTATAAGCGACTTGATATATTTTATGGCTTAGCGTTATAATTTATAAGTTATTTTAATTTTTGTTATCTTTTAGACGCGTCGACATTGAAAGTGAATTACGAGAAAGAAGATTGATGGGCGCGGATGTTGCTGAAATTGATCACCACCAGGTATCGCCTTTGTTGTGATTTAAATCGGCCATTCTCCACTACTTACATTACAGGATTCACAGGCGCAGCAAGTCGCCAAAGGGTCTACGTCAGGTGCGCAGGACGCGGGGTCAGCGACGTGCTCTAACATCTGAAGGCTTACGCATAAAAGCCTTCTACAGAAGATACATAAAGCAAAGTAAATATTACATAGAGCATCCATAACAACGCGTCACTATAAACATTGTCACGGTTATTAATACATTCCATATATTACTCAGCAGAATCGTCCAAGTTTGCCATCTACGTCGATGTTTGTTTATATTGACAGTAAAGTTCTTTTCACTTATTCAGAATGGCCACTCACACATCAAACAGATTAATACTGTTACTATGGAACTATGTACATTGCCTCACGTAAGTTTACTTCTTCATTCAAGTCCACTTAGTTTTCACCAGCATGAGTACGTATGTACCCATGTTTCCTTTCCAGCCGAGCCCTCTTCATAAAACACTGGTAACGATTCTCGCCAGTGTGGACGAGCATGTGCCCATCTAAGTTTCCTTTTTTATAGAAGCTCTTTCCACAGATGACGCTGAAACGGTTTCTCACCAGTGTGAGTGAGCATGTACTTATTTAAGTGTCCTTTTTGATTGAAGTTTTTTCACAGTTGGAACACTGGAAAAGTGTGTGCGCATGTGTGATATCAAGGACGCTTTCTGAATGAAGCTGATTTCACAGACATAACATTGAAAAGGTTTTTCACCAGTGTGGGTGCACATATGCCTTTTTAAGTGTGCTTTTATACTGAAGACCTTTCCACAGATATAACACTGGAAAGGTTTTTCGCCAGTGTGGGTGCGCATGTGCGCGATCAAGGATCCCTTCTGAATGAAGCTCATTTTACAGACAGAACATTGAAAAGGTTTTTGGCCAGTATGGGTGCGCATATGCGAGATCAAGGATCCTTTTATAACGAAGCTCTTTTCACAGATAAAACACTGGAAAGGTTTTTCACCAGTGTGGGTGCGTTTGTGAATAGTTAATCCTCCTGTCGTGCTGAAGCTCTTTTTACACATGGAACACCGGAAAGGTTTTTCTCCAGTGTGAGTGCGCATATGAATAGTTAATCCTCCTTTCGTTCTGAAGCTCTTTTCACAGATAGAACACTGGAAAGGTTTTTCACCAGAGTGGGTGTGCATGTGCCTATCTAAGCTTCCTATTTCACTGAATCTCTTTTCGCAGAGAGCACACCAGAAACTTTTTATACTACGGTGGATGGTCATTTGACTATGAAATTCTCCATCTGCGAACAAAGAACATTTGCATTAGCAATCGGGACTTAGAACAAAGTATAAAGCACTCTACTTACTAGGTCAAATGGCGTGTTATATTGAGAAATACCTCATGAATAAAAACTCCAAATAGTAAATCCATCTTGTGTAAAGATGTAATAAAACATAATTTAAAACACCCATTTATGGGGAAATGGCAATGACTTAAGGTGTACAAGTTAGGGTGAATCTACCGCTTAATTTAAATTTATCACGACACACGTTAAAAAAAAATATAGTGACGAATTCTAAGCATTGTCAGTCAGAGAGGTTTCTTCTAAAGCTAGTGAGTTCCCGAGACGTTCATATTAATGTTTCAAACATTGTACGTTGTGGCCACAATAATCCTGTAAAAGATGTAAAAACCTACAAGGATCGTTAATTATACAATTAAATTAATTCAAGTGCAATTATGTCATCAGTTATTAAAATGTTTATTTCTATATTTGATTAATATCATGAATAATTAATGATCCTTAGTTTAAATGCATATATGGCATGTATAGTTAGTATATGTATATACGACTTTTGTAATAGTATAAGACTTTATCTTGTAAAAACATCTCAATTTGTATGTAATCAAATGTAATAGATTTCTGTGCACTTACTCTTTGTATTGTTAATTTATTACATTGCTACTAGATGCCACCTGCAACGCATTCTGTAGTCTATTTCTGTTATCTCATAGTCTATTCATGCATTGTACAGATTCTTTGTGCATCACTGGGTTTCGCAGTCATTAGCGCTTTTGTCTACCAAAGGCTCATATTTTTCCGCCTTTCACTCAGCGCACAAAGAATGTAATTCTAGCACATAGATACATTTTGTAAAACTTGAAGTGTCTTCAACGCTGCTTGCAACTCCAAACCACTCTCAGCTTTCTTCTTATACGGTCATTCTTGACTTGATTTTATGTAAATATATATTTTTTAACGTGTTACTCACAGGTTGAGCTGGAGTTTGGCTCGGCTAGTTTTGTCGTAACTGTATATTTAAAGTATTTCAGTAGTATTCAGCAATGGTAACCTGTAGATATGCAAATATGCGCTTTTACCTGGAAATACATAGTTACGTTTTGCTCCCCTGGTTGGGAGTCGATGCAAAAACCTGATCACGGGATGTAAAAGTATGAATTTGTACGTATTTGCTCATTGAGTTCACTGCTCTGTCATTGTGGTTATTCTCAATGTATAGTTTCCTTACACGCTTGTTTCAGAATCCTCAGGTGGACCTATTTTTGTATTCAGCGTTCTATACATTTGTTGCATACTATTGTTGTAATTACGTAACAATTTGTATATGATCTCTACAGGTAATGTGGCTTCACCCGACATTTTTGATGATTGTATCATGTAATTATATATTAAAGAGCTTTGCGCTATTGATGAATAAATCTCTGAAGTTGTCATTTGAAAGCTTGTGGTTTTGTTGGCCCACTTTGAAGGGGCAGATTCCGTAGCGTCTAGCTGAAGTAACCTTCCCTGTAGTTATTATTCCTTGCTAAGTTTCCTGATGTTTTTGTGTTGGACTCGCACAAATTCATTGGGCAACACGAGTCAATTAATTTGATTGAATTAGATATTTTCCTTACATTTTCATGTAATATTAAAGGATAGGATTTGATTGTTATCGCAGTTAAACTTGCGGCTGGTGACCATGAATAATTTGTTCAATTGCTTATTAAGTAATTTGTCCGGTATTCAACAAAGTGCTAAATTTTATTTCATATTAGTTCAGAATGGCTTGACGTATGATAGAATTATAGCAATAGCGCATAGGAGAAATGTTTATTTGTCTTTGTGTTGGTTGGGTGATCAAGGGGTCAAATAAAGTGTCGGGTACAACCTACCAATGTATTGTGTAGAACAACCATCCAGAAGTATTGTGTAGAAAGACAGGACTGTCCATACCATAAAAGTAGGTAACAAAAGTACGTTGATTTTGTGAAAAAGCTTTCCCGAATTCGATATAAAGTTTGTCAAAACCCTTGAACGTTTGAATGGTGGGTTATCGAACATTTGTTTGAAAACCTTTGCCATTTTCTTTATGTCGAACTAGAAGATAAGCACCTTTTGGCTAGTGAAGAGTATTGTTACAAAATATAACACTAGGGAACACGATTTTACCTCCAAGAAGGAAGGGTGAACAACGTACTCAATTTTATATGAAGATTACGAAAATCACAATAAAAAATATCACATCCCAGTATTTAAATATCCAGTATCTTTACATCGTATCATATTTGGCTATTAATGCAAGTACATTCAAATTGCATCTGTAAGATCTGAAGAAGCAATACACATGAATTATATTTAAAATATAAATGTTTCAGTTAATTTATGCCACATTCATTAGACATCAACAAAATTAAGCTTTCGTGTTGTTTTTTTAACTTTCAATATTCGAAATTTGCCATCTTTATTCTCGCGTCTGGTAGTCTCGCTCAAGTACGAGTAGGCCTTGGTGGATGTTTTGAAAACAAGCCACATGTGCACCCTCATTTCCTACTACGCATCAGTCACTGAAAGGCCTTGCCTTACCTATCACAAGTGTACAAGTATCCATTCTGAGTCAGTGTCATGCGGAACTGTCCCCGCAGTTCGGAGAAGTTCGTGTTTGGTTCGCGTGTGCCTCAAATATTCGTACATTAATACATTACAGCTCTGCGGATTCTATAAAGTGAAATTCGCCGTATGATCTGTTGGCGTGTATGTTGGTTGGGTAAAATGATAATCATTTCACATCGAAAGTGTGCGAATCAATTCGATAACATCTGTGGTTAATAATTATTTTACCCAATTTTACGATGCTTCGCCGTACAGATGTCGAACATAATAAATAGTTCCCCCATCTCTCCGCCGCTTTCATATCCTGCATTCTCCTTTCTTTTCTTAAATTTCCCTGATTCTCAGATCATCTCATTCTTTCAACCACTCACACCAACGTAGCGAAGTCAGTCAGTTTTTGTCAGTCAGTTTTTGTGTCAAATTGTTTAATAAAAACAATTTGTTTTTGGTTTGTGAGCTCTCACATGTCTGGTAAGTTCTCACCTGTCATAATTTCTCCATTTCTCTCTAGTATTGGAAATAAGTTTAAAGTTTTACTATATATTATAATCATTAAATTTTACAGCCGGATGATGGGGACAACAAATCTCGAAACCGTTGCACACTAAACTTATGAATATGAAATAAATCATGGTTACAAAATTGTTTGTTGATATGTATATAAGGGGCGGTCCAAAGACGAATTTCGGGGGTACTATATAGTATATAGGTATATAATATATATATATATATATATATATACATACATACTACATACTATCATACAAATATATAATACACATGATAAAAAAATAACAAACGTTAATTTACTTATAATGAAAATGCTTTTAAAAATTGAAATTTAATATATCAATATATTTTAATATTAAATGAATAGTGGGAAAGAGGAAATCGTCCACAAAACAGATAATAATTCATTGAACTAGAGAAGGGCGAGAAAAGAGAGGAGAAGACGAAAGAGGACAAGAAGAGAGAGAGAGCAAAAAAGGAGGAAGGGAGAGAGAGAAAGAATAGAGAGAGAAAGAGCGACGAAAAAAAAAGGAGAGAAGAAAGGGAGAGAGAGAGAAGAGCAGAAGAGAGGGGGAGGAGGAAAAGAGAAGAGGACAGAGGAGAGAGAGAGCGAAGAAAAGAGGAAGGAGAGAGGGAAGAGAGAGAGAAGAAGGAGAAGAGGAGAGAGAGAAAAGAAAAGAGGAGAGAGACGAGAGAGGAAAAGAGGGAGAGAGAGAGAGAAAAGAGGAGAGAGAGAGAGAGAAAAGAGGAGAGGAGGAGAGAAAAGAGGGAGAGAGAGAGAGAGAAAAGAGGAGAGAGAGAGAGAGAAAAGAGGAAGAGAGAGAGAAAGAGGAGAGAAGGAGAGAGAAAAGAGGAGACGAGGAGAGAGAGAAAAAGAGAGCGAGAGAGAGAGGAAAAGAGGAGAGAGAGAGAGAAAAGAGGAGAGAGAGAGAGAAGAAACAGAGGGAGAGAGGAGAGAGAAAAGAGAGGAAGAGAGAGAGAGAGAGAAAAAGAGGAGAGAGAGAGAGAAAAGAGGGAGAGAGAGAGAAAAGAGGAGAGAGAGGAGAGAGAAAGAGGGAGAGAGAGAGGAGAGAAAGGAGAGAGGAGAGAGAAGAAAAAGAGGAGAGACGAGAGAGAGAAAGAGGAGAGAGGAGGAGAAAGAGGAGGAGAGAGAAGAGAGAAAAGAGGAGAGAATAGAAGAGAGAAGAAGAAGAAGGAGAGAGAGAAGAGAGAGAAGAGAGAAGAGAGAGAGAGAAGAAGAGAGAGAAAAGTGGAGAGAGAAGAGAGAAGAAGAGAGAGGAGAGGGAAGAGAGAGAGAGAGAGAAAGAGGAGAGAGAGAGAGAGCAAAAGAGGAAGAGAGAAGGAGAGAAAAGAGGAGAGAGAGAGAGAAGAGAAAGAGAGAGATGAGAGAGAAGAAAAGAGAGAGAGAAGAGGAGAAAAGAGAGAGAGAGAAGAAAAGAGGAGAGAGAGAAAAAGAGGAGAGAGAGGAGAGAAGAAGGAGAAGAGGAAGAAAGCAGAGAGAGAGAGAGAAAAAGGAGGGAGAAGAGGAAAAGAGAGCGGAGAGAAAGAAGGAAGAGAAAAAGAAGAGAGAAGGAAAGAAGGCATGAGAGAGAGAAAGAAGAGAGAAGAGAGGAAAAGAGAGAAGAAGAGGAGAGGGAGAGAGAAGAGAAAAGGGAGAGGAGAGAAGAGGGAGGGAGAGAAAGAGAAGATGAGAAAGAAAAGATGGAGAGAGAAGAGGGGGGGAGGGAGAGAAGAGAGAAAATGAGGAGGAGAGAGGAGAAGAGGAAGAGGATGAGAGTAAGGGAAGAGAAGGAAGAGAG